CTTAAATTACACCTTTTGAGATCAGAACCCTGGACACAATTCTTTTTTATTTCTTTTCTTTCAGCACAAAAGTAATTTTCATTATGAATACTTGATTAACATTGTCACTTGAAATACTTCTGCTTCACATTTTGTGTCTTAATGACCACTTCCTTGTCAGTGATATCAAAATGTTTCTGAACGAGCTTGCTGATTAAGTTAAATTTGGCAGGATCAAACTTGGTCTTTGTTGGTCTTTTTACCAGTTGCACTATGGTTTTGAATTTCTTCGATGGTGAAGAACATACCTCTCCAGGACATCCTCCAGATGATCAAATGTTGCAAACCTGCCAAAAGAAGCACCGACTTTGAATAATGTTTTCTGCTAATTCAGTTTTATTCACCTACATACTTTTTCTCCTTTTATTATTTAAAAAAATGTTTTAACTTCAAAATATCGGATCGCGACAACATGTGACAATTGAAATTAGTGGGTGCTTAAATTAAATGCTGATTTCGAGAAGTGGGTACATTAATCAATACATATTAATATAAGAATGTATTTTCAATTGTATTAAGTTAGAACGGGCAAAATTCGTGTGCTACACAAGCAAAATAAATCATTTTATTTTTGTACTTATCCGGACTTCGTGTTATCCGAAAAAATGTTAATAAATGACAAAAAAACTTAATAATTTGACAGTTAAAATCTCTTTTTAAGTTAAATTTCATTCATTTATAAGTGGAAATTTTGTGGATATGAGAATTTAAATAATTTCCTCCAAAATCTCCAGATATACTGTATGGTCGATTGTTCCTTAAAAGCAAGAGAAATCTTATTTTAGTTATCAAGACTGTCCTTGTGCTCGGAAGCATGCGTGCAGATGAAGAACTTACTTGCGATGGGTATAGCAGGATACCATTTCTCCTGGAACTTGGCAAATGTTCTTGTCCCAGGCATTGACCCTTCCCGATCAGCGGCAGTGCTGACAAACGACCAGTTGTTCTCCAAAGTCCAATAAACAAGCACTTTCACTTTTCAGCCATTTTGATTTTTCCCTCGTTTAAAACTGACCGCACATGTATTCGTGTTATCTATTGGTTGCTAAATATAAACTTTGGGTTAGGTGGCGCTAAAGATAACGTGATTTTCTAAACCGGAAGTATAGAAAGATAACATTTGAAGAAACTGTAAACATGCGATCTGGGTGGATTTCGAGGTTTTCAGAAGCTGAAGAAGGTAAATGTCATTATATTTAACAATATGTTTGTTCTAACACCACGGCAAGTGCTACAACCCGTTTGCTAGCTGTATATTTATTATTAGAATAACATCCGGAATAGTCCGGAAGTTCCGGATTTTAGACAGTCTCCAGGATCATTTTTGTGAATCGCGTAAATCCGTTTAGATTTCTGAGGGGTATAGGTTGCCTCTTATCTCGAGTGAGAACTGAAAGAACTCTATTGCCCATTTAATTTTATAAACAGGTGATGTTTTTGTCCGTTTCGTTAAATTCAAAAAGTTTTTTTTTGTGCATTAATGCCATTATGAGCGATTGTGTGCATCACGCACCTTGGTATGAAACAACGCTTCTGATTGGTCGGACAAGTTGTGATTGTCGAATCAGATTATAGAAAACGAGTGACCGGCTAGTTTGTACTTCCGTAAAAAACAAAAAAAAAAACAAAAAAGTAATTCTCATCATGAAGTTTCTGCCCGCGAGGCAAAATACCAAAGTCCTAGAGAAACAAAGCAAAGTTGCAAATAATTGGAGATGGCCGTCTTTGAATGAAATTAATTCCGAGGGGTATTTATGGGGATATTTGGCTACGGAAACATGGGAAACCGGCGGCACAAATCGACCCACACGAAGTACCCAGTCTATACCCAGAATAGATACACCCAAATAAAGGCAAATATAGTAATATTCATCTTTGTTTGCCTAACATATATTTTTGTAATGAGAAAATAAATTATTTTTTATAAAATAACTTGAATAAGCCGGCTGTAACTTTCTTTCATTTACATTTTTAAGAAAATTAACTTGTGACATTTGATTTGCTGATCTAGATTCATTAATTAATATACTTGCAATTTAAGATAAAGATATGATAATATTTGTTGTCTACATTTAAATTTTTAGGGTATAATTTTGTTGTTATTTCATACAAGTGTCCATCATATTATTTTTTTTTAATATAATTTTATAAGGACAACTTTTAGCAGTAGCAAAAATTCTACAAGGTTGAGCACCAGTTACTTTGTGATATTTTGCATGTTTAGAGAGTTGCTAAAGCAGAGACGGTATTCCTTTAGCCTGTATATTTGCCAGAGGGACGAAATGTGTTGTTTTGGGTCTCCGTCCACTGTAGATTTTGGGCTTTAACGGAATGAATTGCATTTTTTTTTACTGCCTGCCTATTGCAGATGGGATAATTTCTTTGCAGATTTGCAATCTTATGTCATATATGTTCTCAACAAAATGTGTTTTCTTTTTCCAGGTTGTGTAGTTTGGTATCAGAATAAATAGACGTATTGCTTGTAGGACATTGACGGCTGAGGAACTTGAAATTAACTGTAGAGTGCTACCTTAAACATGTATGAGTGTGACAATTTCTATGAGTATGACCATGAAAATACAAGGAAGAGTAATTCGGACATAAATTTGGATGTAAACAATAAACTACAAGTTAACAGATCTGTATATCAGAACTAAAAGTACTGAAATGATTGCTGATGCGAACCCTGTTGGTTAGATTTTCTATCAAGAGTCTGTCCAAATAATACTGGTCAACTTATGTCAGGTGATGAAAAACCCTCTGGCACTGAATATTCAAAAGGAAATTTTGCATCTAAAGAAGAACAATGCTATAATGTTCTTGCTAAGATTGGTTTGAACAATGTAAAAGATTACAGAACAACACACCGATTATTACGACAAAGGAAAATTTCTTTATTCCGATAAGTACAAACAAATGAAAAAAACTGTTACACTGTTTTGTGCCTGGATAGTGTGATATTAGCTTTATCATATTTCATAGAAAATATTGTGGATGAGAAGTTGTTTGCTGTTGGACATATATGTACAATAACAGAACTAGTACACCCTTTTTGTGATGTTGGATACCATCTGTTAAGAATGAAAACTGAAGAGGATGTTCATGTTGATAAGATAATTGAAGAAGTGTTTGTTATTCAAACTGAAAATACATTTTTTTAAGTTAGTTGTGTTCCAAATTTGTTCAAGTGACTGGCGTATCTTAGATTACATCATTTGAATGGCAGTTTGAGACAGTAAAATATAAGTCTAATATTACAAAATACAACTTTAATGTGACATTTACTGTTAATTATTATAGGCACAATCCCCGTGGTAGAGTGATTTACGGGTCACTTCTTCAAATCTGTCTTTCATAATAGATACTAAAATGATATGTTAACTAAAAAGCATTGATTTTGGATACAAATAAATTCAGATTCTTGAATAGGTGTTCCAATTTCATGAAAATATTTTCTATTCCAAGATATTTTCCTTTGTTTTGATAAATTTTTTCAAGTTTAAGTAGTTTTTTCAGTAATTCTTGTCTGCCAAAAATGGTGGATGGCGAGTTTGAGCTCTGCTTTGCAACCATAACCTTCATATGGAAAAATTGGTTATTCTTAACTGAGTTTTTTTTTTACTTGGGCCAAACTGAAGTTCAGCGTCCTGTATGGAATATTTTATTTTGCCTGTTGTATATTTGTAACTGGTAGGAACATAATTATGTGATTTTTGTACCTAAACTTATAGCTTACCTAGTAATTTAGCTTTTATGGCTACAATACAGGGTAATATATCCCACTATCAATTTATGCACATAATCCCCGGCTTCTGACATTAAGATCCCACCTTAATTTACCATTTTAATTAATTTTGCTACATCAGTACATGTACTTCTTCCCAGTGCCCTTTGATGCTTTATATCAATGCTTATCTTGTATTCGATAAATGCTGTAAAACTGTTGAAAATGGGGACAATATGTTTAACCTCCATTTATAACCTAGCAGATGGATTCTAGGATAATAACCAAGGAGATGCTGAATCATGCTCTGAGCTGTCTGAAAATTTTGTTATATTCAAAATTCTGTCATGTTTAAACATGTTTGCTTTCCTATAAAAAAAATTTGTAAACAAAACAACTGAAACTATTCTTATTATCAATGTTTTCACAGAAAGTAAAATCCTGTTGTAAGATGTAATTTAAAAAATGCTTATTTGTTAAAAAATATCGACTTTGAATTTATCATGTTCAGCCATGTTTGATCATGTATGACTATGTTATTCTCTTAGTAATAAATGGGTCAATGTGTCAGTAATTATTAAAGCGTTTAAGGCTATTTATACACAAAGTTGAAATGTATGGATACTTTTTTATCCAAAAGAATAACTTATTTGATGAAAGTAACAAGAAAAAAGAGAGATTTGTTTGATTTTTTTTTTTTATAAATTTATCATGTTTATTCATGATTGAATATGTTGATTTCTTGTAAGATTGTTTGCAGAAAAAAAACAATCTTTATGATATTTACCTCTCCCTGAAAGTCATTATAATATTAGTTGAAATAAATACAGATGTTTTATTGAACAAATTGTAATTTTCATCCACAATCATGTTTGATGGTCAAACATGTTTATAAGACATGATTGACCAACATGGTTAATGAGGAAAAAAACATGTTTGTACACATCTTATCATGTTTAATCATATAACATGATTTCTTTTTCGCTAGGGTAAGCATGGTGTTGGACCGTTTACAAAACATTTACTGGTTGATATTTTTGGTAAATGTTGACGATTACGTAACCTAAAATGACCTCATCAGTCATGTAGCCAAATTTTTAATAACGTGTGTAACGGCCACGTGCCCTAGCCCTTCTCCTCACAAGGCGTTTTTCATTAGCTTCTGACTTTCATTTGTGTCATATTGATAAAATGTGAATTTTATGCATGCCTAATGTTCATTGTCCTCTGTTTACAGGTATTGATCGGAGGTTTGCTTTGTCTCACATTAGACAAAGAGAGAAAATAGGAAAGTTAGACAGTGATACAAGCACACAAAGGAAACTTGAATATCAACAGAAAAAGACTCTGCTTTATTGTGATTTGAAAGTCACATAGAAATAGTTCAGTAAACTTACAATACATTATAAACAACTTGTAATTGCTAAATTCTGCACTCAAAAATTGACTTAGCATAGATGAGAATTACTGTTGATTGCTGCATAAAGTTATTGGTTATTGGTAATAACATCCTTTGTCTGAGTTAACAGAGGCTTGATTCTACAGAAACCAAACATATGTTAGATAATAAACATTAGATAGAAAGAGCGTGAGTTATTCAACTGTCAGTGTACCGTGATAATACTTTGATTTTTTTAACACTTCATAAGAGAACAGGTTTAGTACTGGGGCAAACAAGTTTTGTTGTAGTGTTTCAGAAAGACAGGTGGAATATATGATGGTTATTTGTTTACAGAGTTATATGAGCATCTATAAACAAATTATTGCAACATTCTGCTATAAAACATTTTTAAAACCAATAGGCTTTGTGTTGATATAAAATCAGAAAGAACTTGTTTATGTAATTGTGAAACAAGAAATAAAACATTTGAAAAGAGGAAGTGAAATGATTGTTTAACACAAGTGAAAGAATCAGATATCATAATATATATGAATTGCTTAAAATAGTACCAGTGAACAAGGAAGAAAATAACAATGTTGCTATAGCAGGAAATAAAATACATTTCTATCTTCATGATAATGTCTTTTGTTAAAGTTTGTGGTCATGCCTTTTTTGTGATTTAAGATATGCTCTTGGATTGAATTAAATTCAAGAGCTCACTGCCAAAATTACGAAAATAGGTGAAAGGATTTTATCGTTTTTGACAAAATTTTGTGATAGAGGGCTCCTGCAGGAAGAACGTGTGGAAAGAGTGAAGATGGTGAAAACATTTCAAGCTTACTTGCCCACAAAGTGTCACAGGCTCTATAGCTGTGTACATTGCAGAGCACACCTGGCTAATCATGATGAACTTATTTCCAAGGTAAGTTTATAAATTTTAATGCTTCCATGTTTTTTTCTGTAATTGCATGTTATAAAATTAAAGGAGCTGCCACTAACTTTGGTAATGGTAGTAGGCATTCACCTCAAATGGTAACAGGTTTGATTCTCTGCTGACAATACTATAGAGATAGTCCCAAAGATTGTTCTCACCATTAAGGCATTAAGTATGGGTGATGACTGTATACTATGACTGGGATGTGGTATTCTCTAAATTGGTTCTCACCATTTACTTGAAAGATTCAGCACGGGTTATGTCTTTATTATTTTACGGGCATGTTGTTTTCTTTCAGTTCTTGGTGCTTAATATTTAAGTAGTATAAAAACGGTCATGTTATAATTGAAATTCATGTACTAAATTATTTAGTCTCAATTCATAATTATTATTATTATTTTACACTATCTTATAAGAGTTATCATTTTATTACAAAAGTATATCAAAGTTTATTTTGATGGAGGTATATTTAGGTACCTCTGAATATCCATCACCTAACAACTTGTAAGCCTAACAACTTGTAGGATGTTCATAGATTATACACCATAAATAACTTGGCACAATATCAATGTTCTAACATGATGTATATATTATTCAAGAATATAACAAGGAATACACTGGCCTGTAATTATAATGAAGAAACAAAAATAAACACTGTTTGATGGTAATGAAGGTGTACTTAGGTTAAGGTTTGCCTTGGAATTATAAAGAAAATCTAAAAATAAATACAAACTTTTTTATAAAGCTAATCATTCTACTAAAAGATTGTCATAAGCACCAATCTAACCATTCTTTGTTAAATGCTAAAAAATAAAGTGAACAATTATTTTCTTAATTAAAAAAAAGTTATATATTGATATTAACAAGAATTTGTAACAGAGTCACCAATGTCCCCCGCCTCGGGGAAGTTTTATATGAAGCATAAATTTGTGTTACTTCAAAAGATTGAGGTAAGCATTAGATCTCAGGACTTTCAGTCCAAAATTATAATCAATGCTAGATCTGCAAATGCAACAATAAATTTATTAAAGAAATAAAATGAATAAACGGAATTTAAAAATCTATCATGTTAATCTTTGACCTCTTAGTGTGACCTTGGAGGTAGGGACCCATGTTTTGCGCCTGACATATCGTCTTATTATAGTGACTATTTGTGCAAAGTATTTTTAAATCCCTTGATCTAAGAAAAAGTTATGGACAGGACACAAAATATACCCTATAACAGACTATGTAAATCTTTGACCTCTAACTGTGACCTTGACCTTGGAGGTAGGGACACAGGTGTTATGTGTGACATATCATCTTATCATTGTGACTATTTGTGAAAAGTATTTTCAAAATCCCTTGATCTATGAAGAAGTTATGGACGGGACACAAAATATACCATATAACAGACGCTGTTTACCTTTGACCTCTAAGTGTGACCTTGACCTTGGAGGTAGGGGTGCAGGTGTTGTATTTGACATATCATCTTATTATTGTGACTATTTGTGCCTAGTTATTTCAAAATCCAGAAGAAGTTCTAGATCTGTTACAATTATAGCCTTAAACAGACTATGTTAATTTTTGACCTCTAAGTGTGACCTTGAACTTGAAGGTAGGAATGCAGGTGTTGCGCATGACACATCATCTTACTATAGTGACTATTAATTTGTGGCAAGTATTTACAAAATCCTTTGATCTATAAAAAGGTTATGGACCAGTGACCCAAAATATACCCTATAACAGACTATGTTAATTTTTTACCTCCAAGTGAGACCTTGACCTTAGAGGTAGGTGACTGGTTGTTGCTCATGACACATCGTCTTATTGTGAACAATTGTGGAAAGTATTTACAAAATCCCTTCAAAGATAAAAAAGTTATGGACCAGACACGACATATACCCTCAAATAGACAATGTTGACCTTGAATGAGCAAGTGCAACCTTGACCCTGGAGGTAGGGGTCTGGTTGTTGCGCATGACACATCGTCTTATTATAACAAACATTTGTGCCAAGTTATTCTGGACCCCTTTAATAAATGACAAAGTTATGGACCGGACACGAAAGTGTGACGGATGGATAGACGGTTGGATGTACTTACGAAATGGTATTTATGTGACTTTTTTCCTTTGATCTTTTTAGCCATTTTTAGTCACACAAGGCTTAAAAAAAGCCACACAATTAAACACGGAATGAATAGGATCAAAGAGAATTTACTGTTACCCATTGTTCTCCAAGTCACAAAAGTAAGGACAGACGGACCGAGCCTATTTCTATATCTCCCTTTTACTTCGAAAAGGCGGGGGACAAAAATGTTTTTATTGATGTGAGCTAACAAAGACATTTTTTCAAACTGTTCAATGCTTAAGTTGTTTTGTACCTTACACATGTACTAACTGTCAACTTAGTTTGGTAATAAAATAAATACTGCTTAGGTAGTGAACAGTTAAGGGAAATGAATTGAATATATTGATCTTCAACTTATAAAGAAATAGTTACCTCAGTATAATACTTATTGATTTCTCATGGTTCCTTAGATATTCCATATTTGTAGTGAGTCATCAGGCTCTTTTGTAAACTGTAGCAAACTTTTTTCATTTAGTGAAGCATTTTAATGTCTAAACAGAGATGTTTATATATAAAGACATGCCAGAAAATATTTATTGACTGTGCTCACAGTATATAACATAATAGCAGCCAGTAGTTCATTCAGTACTATCTATCATGTCAGACATTTTTTTATGGAAAACACCTAAATTATTGTTCAGCTTAACGCACAGGATATTTAATTACAGAATGTTAATTTTTGTATAATTTTGGACAGATAAATTTTGAATCACTGATAGAGGAATAAATGTGTGTGGCTCATTGTTTACTGTAGAAAACATGATACAAATATTGGTAAAAGAATTATGGATTCAGAAAATATTATAAAGTATATCAAGGTGATAACAAGAAAAGCATTGATGCAAAGCATCAAAGGGCGACGCCAAAATAATTTGATCCAGGTTTGCACCTAAATACTTAACAAAAGATGTGTACTTTATAGCAGTACCATTTCTTGTGACCTGGAGGCTAGGCCCAGTTTAAGTTGAAACTTAAACCAAAAAGAAAAGACTCTGTCTTGCCAAGATGCAAAGACAATTTACAGTCAATTAACCAATCTTAAGTTTATTTTACCAGATACAAGGATACCTGAGTCATCATCATATAATCACAGGCACGAGTATCGAACCTGGGAAGAAAAAGTATGACCAGATTGATAAAAAAACTGTGTTCAAAGTGTCAAAAACCAAAAAAAAAAATGTAAAATAATGACCCCTTTAAAAATATACTATTAACTTAAAGCATATTTTTAAAGGGGGTCATTATTTACATTTTTTGGTTTGTGACAATTATTTAGATGAACACAAGTTTTTTATCAATCTGGTCATATTTTTTCTTCCCTGGGTGAGGTCTGATACTTGTGCCTGCATATAATAAAAGCTTATTGCTTAGGTTGCAGACATGTCATTGACATATATTAGACATAAAAGAGGACCTAAAATGAACATCAGGGGGCACCATAGGTACTCAGAGCAGTAGTAGAAGGAGTACCAGCCACATCAACCAGCTGCTATCAGAAATAAGACTTGAACCATGTAAGAATGTCATTACATATGGCAGATGCTTGAAGTTCCATGAAGAAGAAGAAAAAGAACTTATTCATGTGCAGTATAGTGTGATCAAACTGTAATCAAATGCTTTTTGTAGATCTAAAAGTATCATGCAATACTGCCTTTGTCCATTTCAAATAAAATATAATCTATTAAATGAATCAAACATGTGTCAGTTGAAAAACCACTTCTAAACCCTGACTTAAACTGCCTGACCATGACTCGAACCAATGACTTTCAGAAGACCAACTGAGCTATCCGGCCGGCTACACATTTTCTTTTAATAATGAAATAGTTCTAAACCACAACATATTTCCCCACTCTATTGGTTTATGTCCTTGAATTTCTGATGTTTACAGAGCATAGTGAATGAAACTCATGGTTATATGCAGTCACTGGACGAGAAAAACTTTCAGCTTGACCAGAACTCAAACCTGTGACCCACAGAAAATGTACCGGCGGCTGTAAGCGATTGAACTATCTGGCCGCTTACACATTTTCTGGCCTAAATAGTGAACAGTTCTAAACCGTGACAGATATTTAGATTTTTAAATTAACAGATAATTAATTCTTAATTAATAAATAAGAAATAAAAACCTTACATACTCATAGTCTAAATTAAAATAACAATTTATATATTATGTATAATTATTTTTACTAAAAAGGGCTTAGACAGTAAACTATTGGCTGTGCCATTATTTATAACAGGTCAATTTGAAAGTGAACATAACTGTGCTAATACATGTACAATATCTATTTTTTGTACGGATAAAAAACTAACCTTTTTCTATGATAAGAAATTTTATGAAGGCTGATTTATATTTTGCATCAAGGGCACTGGGCGAAAACATGAAAATGCAACAAACACACCACTTTGTGTCTGGCGCCCGGTTACTTTTTTGTACTTTGTTGGTTTTCATGTGGCAAAAATCACCCGCTATAAAATTTAGTTTACAAATTTATTAAAGGGCAAGTAACAATCTACTCTATGAAAAGTCTGTTGTCGGGTTGACCTCAGGAGACCTAAGCTTGGAAATTGAGATTAGTGTCCCTCCATTACAAATAGATAAGACAGAAGCTGTCCTTTTCAATCTATGCACATGTTAGAAAAAAATTAGAATAACCATTCAAAATGTGATTTTTTTGAGACTTTATCAATTATATTGCTTGATCAAAGTTTCAGGACATTTTCAATCAATACATGTATTATCATTTATAACTTAAATGAAAGTCTCATCCCTTTAATAATAATGACATAACTGTAACTCTTTAAATTCAGAAATATTATAAGTCTCATCATATCAATATACTAAGATATACATGTATGCACAAGTAATACTAAAGATAGAGTAGACAGAAAAGAACAAATAATTTAGTAAACATGAGTTACTTCCCCTTAAAATAGAAAAAAACCTAAAACCCCAAAAAAAACCCAAAAACTTTTAAAATTAGGGGAAATTTTTGGCACTCGTCTTTTTTTTAAAGCCATGAAAATTAAATTTGGAAAGTTTAAAAAAAAAATAAAAATGCCATGTGACACATTTATTCAAAAAACCCCGGATAGCTTTAACACCCGGAAATCGGGTACATTTTGAAAAAAACAAACCTTTTCCTGTGAAAACAGATAAACCGAAATTTTATGGAAAAAATAAAAAAAGGATAAACCCCGTTAAAACAGCCCATTCCCTTTTCCTTAAAACTTTTTTTGCAGGGAAATTTTCTTCTTTAAGAAAATTTTTGAAAAATATAAAATAAAATGAAAACGAAAATTATATAAGGGCTTTCAATGTAGACAAACGATATTCGAAAGGGGTTTTTTAGTTTTGTAAAATAAAACAAAGGGGACAAGCTTTTAAAACTAAACCCTCCCAAATTTTCGTGAAAAAAATTTAACAAATGCACATGCTTTTTATAATAAAGTTATTAAATACAAATATAACAACATATTTTGTTTACTTGATTTTTTACAAATCAAAATAAATCTAAATTAACTCAACATGAAATTAACTGCTAATAAGAACAGCTCCTTCCATAGGCAAAAATAAAAAGCATTCCATATAAGACGAGCGCTCACCGGCGTCGCCAATAAGCTCCTTTGAAAAAAAATCAGTCCATACTTGTATATATATATAGACACTCTTTGATAAAGAGGGAATTTAAATAAATAACCCATGAAAATTTCTTTGCTACAAAAAGAGAACCATGTTTCAATCAAATAGAAAGCTGATTAATGTACATTGGTATAGAATCAAGTCAGTAGGTCACTGCAAAATTGAAGGCCATCACTCATTTCAAATAGAATGTTGTTTTTGGTAACTTCAAAGGTTATCTGTTTTGTAAGATAGGTGGAAAAAACAAAAACTGTTTAGCCTTGAATGTAATATTGCTAAAGAGACTCCTCTTTTAGAAAAAAGTGAGTAATACAAAACTTTGATAAGATATCAATCTGTCCATCATTGCCATCAGCAGCTGCAGCAGTTAATCATTACAATCAGCAGCTGCAGCAGTCTGTCATAACCATCAGCAGCTGCAGCAATCCATCATAACCATCAGCAGCTGCAGCAATCCATCATTACCAGCTGCAGCAATCCATCATTACCATCAGCAGCTGCAGCAATCCATCGTTAACATCAGCAGCTGCAGCAATCCATCGTTAACATCAGCAGCTGCACCAATCAATCATTACCATCAGCAGCTGCAGCAATCCATCGTTAACATCAGCAGCTGCAGCAATCCATCATTACCATCAGCAGCTGCACCAATCCATCATAACCATCAGCAGCTGCAGCAGTTCATCATTACCATCAGCAGCTGCACCAATCCGTCATTAACATCAGCAGCTGCAGCAATCCATCATGACCATCAGCAGCTGCAGCAATCCATCGTTAACATCAGCAGCTGCAGCAATCCATCGTTAACATCAGCAGCTGCAGCAATCAATCATTACCATCCAGCAGCTGCAGCAATCCATCGTTAACATCAGCAGCTGCAGCAATCCATCGTTTACATCAGCAGCTGCAGCAATCCATCATAACCATCAGCAGCTGCACCAATCCATCATTACCATCAGCAGCTGCAGCAATCCATCATTACCATCAGCAGCTGCACCAATCCATCATTACCATCAGCAGCTGCAGCAATCCATCATAACCATCAGCAGCTGCAGCAGTTCATCATTACCATCAGCAGCTGCAGCAATCCATCATTACCATCAGCAGCTGCAGCAATCCATCATTACCATCAGCAGCTGCAGTAGTGCATCATTACCATCAGCAGCTGCAGCTATCCATCATTACCATTAGCAGCTGCAGTAGTGCGTCATTACCATCAGCAGCTGCAGCAATCCATCATTACCATCAGCAGCTGCAGCAATCCATCATTACCATCAGCAGCTGCAGCAGTCCATCATTACCATCAGCAGCTGCACCAATCCATCATTACCATCAGCAGCTGCAGCAATCCATCATTACCATTAGCAGCTGCAGTAGTGCATCATTACCATCAGCAGCTGCAGCAATCCATCATTACCATCAGCAGCTGCAGCAATCCATCATTACCATTAGCAGCTGCAGTAGTGCATCATTACCATCAGCAGCTGCAGCAGTCCATCATTACCATCAGCAGCTGCAGCTATCCATCATTACAATCAGCAGCTGCAGCAGTCCATCATTACCATCAGCAGCTGCAGCAATCCATCATTACCATCAGCAGCTGCACCAATCCATCATTACCATCAGCAGCTGCAGCAATCCATCGTTACCATCAGCAGCTGCAGCTATCCATCATTAACATCAGCAGCTGCTGCAATCCGTCAGTAACCATCAGCAGCTGCAGTAGTGCATCATTACCATCAGCAGCTGCAGCAATCCATGTTAACACCAGCAGCTGCAGCAATCCATCATTACCATCAGCAGCTGCAGCAATCCATTAGCAACTTCAGCAATCCATCATTGCCATCAGCAGCTGCAGCAATCCATCATTACCATCAGCAGCTGCACCAATCCATCATTACAATCAGCAGCTGCAGCAATCCATCATTACCATCAGCAGCTGCAGCAATCCATCATTACCATCAGCAGCTGCAGCAGTCCATCATTACCATCAGCAGCTGCAGCAGTCCATCATTACCATCAGCAGCTGCAGCAATCCATCTTTAACAACAGCAGCTGCAGCAGTCTATTATATGCAATATCAGCATCGTCTAACAGATATTTTTTTGCCAACAACACATTAAAATTATGTTATGAAATAAACTATTTTATTAGTTATGACTTGCCAAAACAGATATATATATTGTTTTTTCTGTATTTTCAGTCATTTCAAGGAAGTCAGGGAAGAGCATACCTGTTCAACTCAGTGTAAGTGTACATTACTTATTTGATATACTGTTGCTGTTTGTAATATGTTTATGATGAGGGTTTCATTATAATGATATGTTATAGCTCCACTTTTCTCTGATTACTGGAGCTAATGCAGTCACCCATTTGGTCGTGTCAGCTTTGGTGTCCCTGTGGTTAAGTGTTTGCATGTAAGCTGGTATCTCCATAACTACTGTTGGGAATGGATTGAAACTTCACACACTTGTTCTCTGTGATTATCTAATATTATTGGCACAAGTCCCATAAATCTGATTTGCTTTTTTGCATATATATGCCCCTTTTTTGGTCTTAAGAAATTCTTGGTTAAGTTTTTGCGTTTAAACTGGTAATTCTCCATAACTACTGAAGGGAATGGATTGAAACTTCACACACTTCTTCTCTGTGATTATCATACATGATTGGTACAAGTACCATAACTCTGTTTTGCTTTTTTGCATAATTAAGCCCCTTTTTTAACTTGAAAATTCTTGGTTAAATTTTTGCGTGTAAGTTGGTATCTCCATAACTACTGAAGGGTTTGGGCCTTTTTTTATCACAATTTTATGAATTCATAATAATCAATAATCCATAATAGAAAGAGCAATGCCACAATAAGGGTGTTACATTGAGTATCTGAGACAATCATATATTATAATTCCTGTCAGTTTCTGGGAATTTATAGAGGTTGTTTCCAAATCCAATCTTCTGGCAGAATGGACATGGCCCTGTTATACCTGCTGTTGAGGTGCTGGTGGCTTACAAATGACTCCAGGTACTACATGATGATTTATATGTCTTCATGTAGTAACTGGGATACTTATGTAGTGTTTATTAAAGGCAAAACACTTGAATTGATAACATCATGTATTAAGTCTCATGCATAATTATCTTTGGTGGTTTCCGAAAGTAGTACAGTAAACTTGTTAGCATTCTCAATTTATCTGGAAATCTGACCATGATATAGACAAAGTTTATTACATATTATATTGATATTACAATGAAATTTGTTTACCAATTGCATACTTGTAAATTTACTTGTAATTAGTGAATAGATGCAAAGAGATTCTGTGAAACTTGAATAAGTCTTTTAATTTTCTAGACATGACTGTGGGTAAGATATTTAAGCATAATAAGGCAAAAGTCTACATGATGGAAGTGTAGCAGACAAACATTATTGATTAAAATCACTAATGTATAACAGTAGTGGTAGAAATATTCATTTTACAATAATGTCATATCAGGTTTTACAGGTAAATATTGTTATTAAGTGTCTGCAAAAACAATATTTCTGATGCTATTTCAACTAGACACCTATCAAACTCTCAATGTATGTTGTTGTGTATATGGAAACATTTCATATATATGAATATTTGACAGACCAGATACAACCTTAACCTACAGTCACCTGTGTGATATGCTGATATATTATAAGACAGAATGGAAGTAAAATGTAAATAAGGTGGTATTTTGACTTCCATACAAAATAATAAATCAAAGCACAGAAGGTGCTGAATTTGTTTGGGTCTCAGAATGTAAGAAAGGTGCAGGTTGTGAGATTATATGTATAGTGCCACCAATGCTTTCCAGCGTTTTAATTGTAGTAAATTGGCTATAAGACTAATTGCAACACTGATATTCAATCCAATGTTTATTTGACTTTAACAATTTGAAAAAAAAAGAGTTACCTTTACTGGGATTTGAACTCCAGACCTCTCGCTTCCTAAGCGAGCCCGAAAACCCTTCAGCCACGATGAATTTATATGTGAACGGGCTGAAGAAAACCATATTATTCTAAATTAGGGCTTGTAACGACTTTAACTGTTGTTTAACACAGATGTAAATAATCCTGGAGCTTACTATAAGCATTTATATTTATAAAAAATCAAAGTGCTGCAAGTTCTGTGGTATTTTCTGATCTTTGCAATATAGGTTTATTTTTATGTATTATAATTCATTTTGCAAGGCACCAGAGTTTGATACATACGGAATCCTGCATTACTAGAGTTGCATCAAAAAATTATTTATGTTCATTTTTTACGACAGTCACACTAATTTATCCTTGCATATCATGGCTACTTCCTTAACAAAAACACTTAAAAAAGAATTTATCAGAAAAAAATTTTCTCGACTGGGATTCGAACTCTAGACCTCTCACTCACTAAGCGAGCGCGTTACCACTGTACCACGGAGAAGTTATACACAGACGGTCTGAATAATATCAAGTCATTCTAGATTGAGAACTTCCATTGCATTTCGGGTTTGTAATCCTTATTAATTTCGAGGTATTTTGTTCAGGGAAAACCTGTTGTTTAAAATTGAAGTAAATATTTTAGCGAAAATCCTCTCGCCCAAACAGTCCGACATGTAGAATCTATATATTCCACTACTCAGTTTGTGTAGTATTCGGTTATAAATAGTATTTTCATTGATAAAATCATATTCATCCGCGTAATTTGTGATTGTGCATTTATTGACAATTCTATAAGCCAACGCTATTGTTTAACTTTAAATGCGTTGTAATTTGTTGGATACTTGTAACAAAATAAAATATTTCTTTCTTTTAAACCGCTAGTTTTAAGCTGTTTTGAGAACTACTTGTTGTTAGGTTTGTTGTAAACTTCTGTGTCAGAGATTGAATGTCCGCTTTGTATTTAGTTATTTTCGATCAGAAAATACAATAAAACAATATTAGAAACCTTCGACCATTCGGGAATTACTGTGCTTGAAAATTGATGCGCATGTCTTTGACTATCTTTACGCAGTGATCTCCCCTGAATTTTTCGGCTTTAGTGTACATACAAAAGGGAAGTAACCGCTTCAAAAAAGTGGACTACTTTCGGCATTTGCAATTAAGAACATTAGACTCTGAAATTTCGCTACCATTATTTGTTTGGTCTGACGACCCAAACAAATAAAAACAATCAATATACAAGTTGCAAGAAAACAAAGAATGTGGCCCAGCTATACGGCTAATTTGTAACTTTGGAAGCTGTTATAAAACACTATGAATAAAAAGTTTATGAGAAATAAAACTCATATAGCATTTTGAGGCTTAAATTTGGCCTTTAAAGTATAATACAATATTCAACAGATATACATGATCATGCAGTCAATAAAAATATTATTAATAAATTGCACTATTATAAACAGTTAACATTGATTTCATATATAGATTAAACAATTAAATAATCTATTAAAGGGAGTATTGTAAGAAAAATGCTCCGAAAGAATACACTTTTACATTGATAATTGGTATGATATTTCAGAACTAATGTATGGTAAATATGATTTGAAGCATGACAGCTGATATCATTCTTTTTATTGACCTGATCAATCTAAATAAAAATTACTTTAAGTCATCTTGGTCATAAATTAAAAAAAAGCCTAGCTGAATTATTATTACACTACTGTTATATTGTTATAAACACTGACCTATTTGTAAGGCACAACAAATTTTAAAGTTTTGATTTAATTTCATTACAAAATTCATACAATATCTGCAGCAGTATGTAGATGTACCTACAGGGATTTAATAAGTCTGAAAGCTTCTGTAGAATAATGTTAATTCAAGAAGAAATGACCTTTTACAGCTTTTCTTGCATTAAAGTGTATGTCTGATTCAGTTTGTCCGCATTTTTATGCCCACGCCGTGCATACAGACCCAGCTGTTCTGTCATTCCGTCATCATCTGTGTCCGTTCATTATATAGGCAACAGTTGCACACATTGACATATTCGTATATCATAGGAAAATGCATGTCAAGTTCCAATATGGTCATGGTCTAATGACTTTTGACAGAGTAATGCCCCTTGAAGAAATTTTCAGTCTTGCCAACAAGTATATTCATTCCATATGGATACATGATGGGAATACGCAGGTCAAGTCCAAATTTGGTCATTGTTTGATGATTTTTGCCAGAGTTTTGCCCCATGAACTTTGAAAAAAATAAGAAATTTTCCTGTTAGGCATTCTAACTTTTGTAGGAAGAAGTATTATATAAGGTTGAAAATGCAAGTGTAGGTATTTTCATATCATCTGCCCTGACTGCAAGTAGTAAATTATATTAAAATCTAACAGTTGTATTAGATCTACAGTATTGCACCATTATGGGATTATTTTGACAGAGCAGATACAGAATGCCCAGTTTTATGGTGTCAATATATACCTTGAAAAAATCAGCAGAAAAGTACTTGATTTTGAAAGATATGAAAATGAATGAAAAAATTAGCAAAAAGTTTGCAATTTTTGAATAGTTAATTAGAATGATTATAACAATGCAATTGATTCAAACTTGGGGGTACATTTGTGGCGTAGCAACACATTTCTAGTCTTTTTTGTTTTTTATGCCGCCGAAGGGAGGTATAATATTATCACACCGTCTGTCTGTCCCTCTATCCGTCTGTGCCTCCTTACTTCATTCGTGTCAACTGTAACTTTGTCATACATTGAGGGATTTTGAAATGACTTGGCACAAATGTCTACCACATCAAGACGATGTGTCACGTCCAAGAACCATGTCCCTACCTCAAAGGTCAAGGTCACACTATCAATTTGAAGTTTCAAATTATTGCAATTAGAGTAAATAGGTACACACATTGGTGTCTGGACTGTAACTTTGTCATGCATCGTAGGATTTTAAAATAACTAGGCATAAATGTCTACCACATAAAGATGATGTGTTGCGTCGAAGAATTATGTCTCTACCTCAAAGGTCAAGGTCACACTAACATTTTGAAGTTTCACATTATCACAATTAGAATCAATCGTGTCCGGGCTGTAACTTTGTCATGCATGGAAGGATTTTAAAATAACTTGGCATAAATGTCTACAACATCAATTACACCAGTGTGTCGCGTCTAATTATCACATCCCTACCTCAAAGGTCAAGGTCACACTACCATTATGTAGTTCACTTTATCACAATTAGAGAGGTTCACACATTCGTGTCCGGGCTGTAACTGTAATTGTATATAGTCCAACCCCGTTTATGCGAAGTGCCTGGGACTGAATATTTACTTCGAAAAATCGATGGGTTTGAATAATCAAAATAGGAATATTGTGATAGACGAAAACTACTCCACTTAGTCTAATCATAGCAAAACTACCTTTTACAACATACTTACTTCCTGTAATCAATTGAGAAAAATAAATATTAAAGAAAAGATGCGTAAATATTGTTGTATTGTCATTAAAGACATAAATACTTGCATTTTATTCTACATTATGTATCGTTTCGTTTCGCGCAAAGCCTTGATAATGGCCGTGTTTTCACTACGGTATTTAACTCTGGTATTTTCGATTAGGATACAGACTCTCATGTAGCGTTACAATTAATGAAAAAAATGTTTTGGATGTTTTGACAAATTTACATATACGGTATGTATGATAATTATTGCTGTCACCTTCACGCAATAACAGTAATAAAATCGGACATGGTGCATTGCTTTTCATTTTCGGTAATTAAAGTTGATTTTAGAACACACAAAGAATTATTATCATGATTGTCTAAATACACGCATGACTGTTGATATTTTTCACAAGTCGACCGGTCAGCGAGTGGATCTGAGCCAATTAGTCTGGCTTCGAATAATAATTAGGCTGGCTTCGAATAATAGGTGTGAAATTCTTTCATAATTGTATAATTGGGTCCAAAATTTTACTACGAAAAATAGGAGGTATTCGGATAATGCATTTCGAATAATACGCTCGTATTTATATTGATTTATATAGAGATAAAACGGGACCGCCGATCTACTTCGGATAATGCCGGGTATTCGAATAAAGGGTTGTCGAATAACCGGGGTCAGACTGTACATAGTTTTTTATTTAGCGAGAATGATTGATTGAGGTAACAGGTAATTTACTCTCAGCTAAATAAAGAAGCAGACAATTGAGTAATTGATCCTTTTTTAATTCAAAGAAATCATGGATAATGCTAGATTAATGGAAAAGATTTTATCTTCAAGTCTATGAAACAAAAATAGAATACTTGTGTCCTACTATTTTAGAATTATTCTTGCAGATATAAAGCCTGATGATATCAGATGGTATACAAATTCTCTTATTTTCTAAACCATACACTGATATTTCTTGTCATCTTTTAAATAATGAATGATACCTATACCATCAAGTATTAATATAGTCTTTGTAGTCCAAATTTGCTATCTTGTTGCATGCTGATTTATTTTGGCTTGGTTAATGTCAGGAAAACTTAATTACACCAGAACATCTGTAATTGGATATGTCAAACAAATCAATGTTGTACTGTCACTCATAAAACAACAACAATCTATAAATAGACAAGCTGTGTCTTGTTTAATATACGAGACTCTATAGATAATTCATTAGGTACATATGCAAGGTATAAAATACTTTTTGGAATATTTTGGAAAAGCTACAGCTAGTAGATAATTATATAGCCTGCCAAGACCAGCTAGAGACTGTCAGTTGTATAATTATATTTTACTGCCACAAAACGTCATCAGCTTTCTTAAAATAACACATTTTAACTATTTTACTTAAGTTTAAAGCAGATAGAATTGATTATAAAAGAGTTTCAAAGCACAATGTTATGCAAATTTGGCTCCCTGTTAAGCAACAATTTGTGATAATCATGAAATCTTCCATATTTGTACCTCAAATATCTAATTCTTTGTTAATTAACTGCAAATTCACAAATAACTTATTCGTAATTTAAGTATTTTAGAGGTCATGTACTAGGAACATTAATGATATATAATAAATCAATTCATCTATAATAAACCAAAGAGGTTGCTGCCACAAAAACAAAGTCTGTTTCTCTATAATAAAACATACATACAACATGATGCCTGCTGGCCATTTCATTAGATGTAGTTTAATTAACAACATGCATGTGTTTTTATGTTACTGGTATATATTACAACAAGAGAGGTCAGCTATAATATTGCTTTGTTTGCAAAATGTACAAGTGTAAATGTCTTAAAAAGTGATGACAGAATGAGGTTATTTGGCAACAGTGTGTCTATTTTGATAACATTATTGGCACAACATTCTATATTTATGGCATATACAAGTGAAATGTTTACAGAGATGAGTTTCTGTATCTGTTATCATAAATGTTATGTGAATATAGCAACAGATTTAAGACACTTGCCTTTCAACTTTCTTTGTTAGAATAAACCTTGATGAAACCATTTTCTTCAAAAGATACTGAGAATTCAAACAAAATACATGTATGAAACATACTGATTTAAACATTTATGATAAATAGTGAGATATTTTGAGACATGTCCTACTGCCCATGAGACCAGTGCAGATCAAGATCAGCTCAGGCATGTCTGTCAGTCATCTCATGGTCGCAATGAGTATATAATATATAAATGATGAATGGTTTAGTCCAGATTGATAGCTGGCAATAATTGACTTGCCATGACAGGTACAAGATAGTTGCCAAACCTCTTTATAGAAAGATAAGGAAACAATCCACTAAATCAAGATAACTGCTGTCACACAAGAAAGGATTGATCCTGCTTATGCATTTTGGTCAGACTTAAAGTTGTTGTGATTTAGTATATGTACTTTATATGAAAGTCAAAATAGCACATTGTTTATCTATGACAAGTTATTTCACAATGTTCATTTTCTAATGCTTAATGCCCCTTTAATATACCAATGTTGACACACTTTATTTAATATCTATTCTGATTCATAGGTGTACATCAGTGTTGTCCCATTTCAAATTCATAATTGTTTACAACTTTAAATAGTTTTGAATGTTTGTTATTGCGTTATCAGTAAACTAGGTAAAATATGTAAATTGGAGGGAAATTAGCATCATGTTTTCCTTTATTATTAATGGAAGATTTAGGGCATGATGATGTAATCTCTTAAGTATTTTACACATTAAATGTTCTATTGGTTGCTATTTTAGGAAATTAGTACAAGTTAAAATGTAAACAAAAATAAAACTGTTATGGAAAATTGGATATGAGCTGTCATAATATACAGCTACATGTAATTAAAATTCTTGTCTTATCATATTTAACCGAAATGAGATACCAGGTGTGAAAACACACATCAGATGTTTATGTTAACATTTGAAACATGAGATTGAAACCTGTAACGGTGCTCCCCCAGTGTTTAAACTTGGTGAGAAATCTGTAAAGGTGCCCCAAGTGTTTATACCTGGTGAGAAACCTGTAAAGGTGCCATGAGTGTGTATACCTGGCGAGAAACCTGTTAAGGTGCGCAGTGTTTATACCTGGCGAGAAACCTTTAAAGGTACCCCCCCGCCAGTTTATGCCAGGTGAGAAACCTGTAAAGGTGCCCCCTGTGTTTATGTCAGGTGAGACACCTGTAAAGGACCATTTACCAGTGTTTATACCTGGTGAGAAACCTGTTAAGGTGCCCCCAGTGTAAATACCTGGTGAGAAACCTGTTAAAGTGTCGCCAGTGTTTATACCTGGTGAGAAACCTGTTAAGGTGCCACATGTGTTTATACCTGGCGAGAAACACAGTGTAAATACCTGGTGAGAAACCTGTTAAGGTGCCCCCTGTGTTAATACCTGGTGAGAAACCTGTTAAGGTGCCCCCAGTGTAAATACCTGGTGAGAAACCTGTTAAGGTGCCCCCTGTGTTTATACCTGGTGAAAAACCTGTTAAGGTGCCCCCAGTGTAAATACCTGGTGAGAAACCTGTTAAGGTGCCACCTGTGTTTATACCTGGTGAGAAACCTGTTAAGGTGCCCCCTGTGTTTATACCTGGTGAGAAATCTGTTAAGGTGCCCCCCTGTGTTTATACCTGGTGAAAAACCTGTTAAGGTGTACCCAGTGTTTATACCTGGTGAAAAACCTGTTAAGGTGCCCCTAGTGAAAATACCTGGTGAGAAACCTGTTAAGGTGCCCCCTGTGTTTATACCTGGTGAGAAACCTGTTAAGGTGCCCCCAGTGTAAATACCTGGTGAGAAACCTGTTAAGGTGCCACCTGTGTTTATACCTGGTGAGAAACCTGTTAAGGTGCCCCCTGTGTTTATACCTAGTGAGAAATCTGTTAAGGTGCACCCTGTGTTTATACTTGGTGAAAAACCTGTTAAGGTGTCCCCTGTGTTTATACCTGGTGAGAAACCTGTTAAGGTGCCACCTGTGTTTATAACTGGTGAGAAATCTGTAATTGTCTTGAGAAGATGCTTACCCTAGCTAATCTTATACAACAGCCTGGTTTTGTTTGTTGAAACTATTTGAGTCCTACACCACTACCTTGCAGACAAGTAAGGTTCAATTTTATACATCAGTGTTCATATTGGTAATGTATACTGGTAATGGTAATTTTACTGTTATATTTTCAGTGTAAACATTGGGTGTGGCCCTGCAGAGGAGAGGGTGTTGTTGACAGGATTGCATGCTGTGGCAGATATATTCTGTGAATGCTGCAAAACCACACTTGGATGGAAATATGTAAGTGCTGTTCAACTCTAAATTTAGAATTTTCTTTAAATGTCTTAATTGATTTTCAAGTCATAATTAACTAAATAAGAGCAGCAAACAGTGTAGAATATAATGTCTGACATCACTGGACTTTATATATCTATGACAGTTAAAGTGACCATTTCTGTATTTATGACATCAGAGACCATTTCTATATTTATGACATTAGTGACCCGTGACCATTTCTATATTTATGACATAAGTAACCATTTCTATATTTATGACATCAGTGACCATTTCTATATTTATGACATCAGTGACCATTTCTATATTTATGACATCAGTAACCATTTCTATATTTATGACATCAGAGACCATTTCTATATTTATGACATCAGTGACCATTTCTATATTTATGACATCAGTGACCATTTCTATATTTATGACATCAGTAACCATTTCTATATTTATGACATCAGTAACAATTTCTATATTTATGACATAAGTGACCATTTCTATATTTATAACATCAGTAACCATTTGTATATTTATGACATCAGTAACCATTTCTATATTATGATATCAGTAACCATTTCTATATTTATGATGTCATTGACCATTTGTATATTTATGACATCTGTTACCATTTCTTTATTTATGATGTCAGTAACCATTTTCTATTTTTATGACATGAGTGACCATTTCTATATTTATATTATCTGTAACCATTTCTATATTTATGACATAAGTGACCATTTCTATATTTATGATGCCATCATTAACCATTTCTATATTTATGATGACATCATTAACCATTTCTATATTTATGACATCAGAGACCATTTCTATATTTATGACATTAGTGACCATTTCTATATCTATGACATCAGTAACCATTTCTATATTATGATATCAGTAACCATTTCTATATTTATGATGTCATTGACCATTTGTATATTTATGACATCTGTTACCATTTCTTTATTTATGATGTCAGTAACCATTTTCTATTTTTATGACATGAGTGACCATTTCTATATTTATATTATCTGTAACCATTTCTATATTTATGACATAAGTGACCATTTCTATATTTATGACATCAGAGACCATTTCTATATTTATGACATCAGGGACCATTTCTATATTTATGACATTAGAGACCATTTCTATTTTTATGACATCAGAGACCATTTCTATATTTATGATATAAATGATCATTGCTAAATTTATGACATCAGAGACCATTTCTATATTTATGATATCAGTGACCATTTCTATATTTATGATATAAATGATAATTGCTAAATTTATGACATAACTGACCATTAAGATGAGTCTTATCACATTCAGTATAAATATATCACTTCTGGTAACATGGCAGTATTAGAAAAACAGGCTGAACTTTATGTTTTGTATTTTTACTTGCAGAATTCTTTATAAACTTTAAAAAAAAAATAGATAATAGATTGAACTGAAATTTGGCCATCTATCAAATAATAGGACTGCTCTTTATTAATGTTTGAATGGTTGTGGTGTGTAAATGTGTAACCATATAACATCAACAGTGTTCATTTGAATTTATACTTTACAAGTAAAGAAATAATTGTATTAAAGTTATGTTTTATTTCCTGTTTTTTTTCCAGGAACATGCATTTGAGTCTAGTCAGAAATACAAGGAGGGGAAATTTATCATTGAGCTTGCCCACATGATAAAAGATAATGGGTGGGACTAGCACAGGATGGAGGTGGAGTCATCATAATAGTTAAGGAGGGAATAACTGTTGGCACAAATTCTTTAATTTTAAAAACATATTTTTTTTTATCTTCAGACATTTTAGTGATTTAATTTTGACTGCAAATATAACTCTCAAGTACTCATCTATTTTCTGCCTTGTAGAAATACCAGAATATTTAAAGAATGTTCAAGAAGAATGTTATTGAACAGTATACAATGTTCCCTCCTTAATGATATGGTTAAACGCACAGTAAATGGATCTCTTAATTTACATTCCCACTGTTATCAGTGACTTGGTGTCTTTCATCTGGTACTCTATACAAGAGTACAGAACAGTCATTTCTTTTTGAGGATACAAAATCATAGCTGAAGTACAGAACACAGTTCCAAATCTTAACATTTTTATGAGGATAAAAGACAGAACACAAAGTCATAATTATCTGTGTGTGTGAAGAAAATGATAGATAGAAATAATTTGTACAATATGCTACAAGATAGTTCTAAACATTCATTTTACTTAATTATAAACATGTTTTTTTCCAATTCAGAATTTGAAATTAGTTGTATATATATATATACATAAAAGGACAAATATGACAAAAATAATTTTGAAAGCAGAGAAATATATAAAATTTTGAAATAGAAGTTGAAGTATTTGGAAGAAGAAGAGGATGAAGGAGCATTTTGGAGGAGGTATATTCAACATGTTTATATAATGTGTTCAAACATTTTATTGAGAGGAGGAACAGATTGCTGAATGTAACTAGATTGACAGGTTACAATATGTGGACATCCTTGAAGACTATATGATCATATATATGTATATGGTATAAATATTGTTTGGTGTATAAAATAACAATTGTCATTTTGTTTCTTCATTATATTGCAAGAGGCACAATCAAGTGTATTAACAGGTGATGTAAACATTATAGAGAGAGTTTATGAAGTAAGTCTTTAAAAATGTATAACACATACCTTGATTTAATGTAGTCATCATGTTTTGAGCACTAGAGTGTGCACTCGAAAGTCATTTAAGGTGTTGAAGATGGTGTGTTAATGAGGTATTTTATCCTAATTGCTCTATCATAAAATTAAACACATTTTAAAAGATTGTCAAAAACATGTGATTTTAAAAGATTTGACGACATATATGCTAGTTATTTGATATCACATGCTTGCATTTCATCTACAGATAATGCTAAAGGTTAAAAATCTAAACTTCAATGTGAACATTTTGTTTGATGATATTTATATAACAGGGTTTAGTGATAAAACTATATGATGACTGTACTATTTATATATACATTATATAAACTATATATGATGTGTTTGACTAGCTGTACCAGTATTTTGTATATTCTGTTAACATGGTCATTATAGTTACCACCTTTCATTATGTATGCTGAGAAGTTTTTTTGACTGAGAAGTAAAATGTCTTTGTCTTGAATCAGGCTGTCTTATAAAATATTGAAGTAATTGTCATTGAGACATAATTATGGCTGCTTGATTCCTCTTTGCTTTTTTTTTGTCCAATTAAAACTCAGGAACTTTTAAAAACTATAAATTGTGATAGAGTTAATACTAAAATAGGATGGAGTCCTTTTATGAATTTTTTTACAGAGTTAATTTTTGAGAAATGTTCTCAGTATGATATTGTGCTAAAACTAATTCTGTTTTCTACAATTATTATCTTTGTGTTTTTTGTTGTGTGCTTTGTGTGCAAAATGTATATTATAATAATTGTAGTATTTTTAGGGATGTTTGATATGATTAAATGAATAGTCTTTTTGTGAGAAGTTTGTCTACACTATACTAAAAAGAGTAAATTGTTTTTTCATGTCAACAAATAAGAGGTTGAATGTCTCTTTTTTCCATATGTTATTCACTATTGAGCACACATAAAGATAGTCTGTAGATAGTGACACTTGGTGATTTATGTTTTATTGATTGATTTTTATAAACAATCTTGTTTGTTGGACAAACTTACATAATATATATTGATAATTTCACCACTGATTCATTATATATTACTCTGACTGGAAGATACCTATAAATATTGAAATAGTTTATTGTAAATCAAAAATATAGAGGTACAGAGACATAGACTTGTGACTGTCTAGATACTAGACTGGTATTTGTTATGTTGTTACACGATTACTCTTTATGTTAGAAGAAATTTGAGATTGTGAAGGTATAACAAATATTACCTGTTGTCAATGTTTACAGACTATTATAATATCATGTATCCATTACAGAGTACAATCATCACAGTTTTAATAAATTTATCATAATTCTTCATAATCAGCTTACCAAAATGTCTTTCAAATCATTTGTCTTTGATACATATTGATTGACCTCCTATCTCATGACACTTATTTTATTATAACATAAACAACAACAAAAAATGCAACAAACTTTGAGCTAAATTGTGTACAATATTTAACTTTGGTCTGTTGCCTAAATATATGTGTTTTGTTTGTTTTTTGGGGTTTTTTTTCTTCAAACAATACCTACATGATAGAATTGTTACTTAAATGAAAACATTATCATTTATTTATTTGAAAACATACCTTATTAAATTATCTGGATCATTATCAGTTAAAATTGTACCATAACTATCTGAAATTTCTGATACATTCTAGTGTTTTCTTTAATCTTTATAAAACATAATGTTGGTCAATTTGCACCAAGGATTTCTGATAGTATTAGAGAGTCTAATTTATGTTTGCTCTTTCTTTTTTCTTAATATAAGTTAATCATTTATAAATGAAATCTTGATGTGTATGTTGCTATAGGTGTTTGAGTAGAAAATATTTTATAATTATTGATATATTATTGCTGTTTGCTGACATTAATAGTATAAAATTTAGTTGTATATTTTGTTTGTGGCTTTGGCATCATTTCAAAAGATGTTTCTATTTTCTATATTTTTCTAAGGTTAATACAAATCACTAGATACTCTATTTAGAAGTTGTAGCAATTGTAAACATGCTCATTGAAAAGTGGATGTTTTTGTCAAAGAGGGAAAAGGGGAGATAACTATTAGAATCTCTTGAAATGATGCTGTTAAAAGTGGGATAACAATGTTGCACATTGTGTACTATATAGTTAGTACTTTAGTTTACAATGTATGTGGTAAAGTGTTATTTGACATATACCTTTCTAGGCAGATATGTACTATATTTTATATGTGGTATAGAATTGTGGTATATCTGATTTTCTAGCCATTATATGCTGTATGTTGAATGTAACATTGTGTTCTCTTCAACACATACCTTGTTTTAAATGTATCATGTACTGAATGTGTTTTTGAGTTCTCCAGTACATATGTAAAATGTGGTGTGTATTGAAAGTGATATTTGTTTATGTTCTCAACACATACCTTCCCTTGCAGATAATGTGCTAACTATTGGATGTGTTATTATGTTCTTTAACACATACCTCCCCAAGGCAGATATGTGCTGACCATTGAATGTGGTATTGTGTTAAACATATACCTTCCCTGGCAGATATGTGCTGTCTATTATATGTGGTATTATGTGATATGTGCTTATTTAGTGCTGTGGTATGACTGTGATGTTAAATACAATGATCATATCATTAATGTTTATTATGCCCCCATTTCGAAGAAAAGGGGGTATATTGCTTTGCACTTGTCGGTCTGTGGGTCCGTCGGTCCGTAGACCAAATGGTTTCCGAGTGATAACTAAAGAACCCTTAGGCCTAGGAACTTCAAACTTGGTATGGTGATTGGTCATGACCAGTAGATGACCCCTATTGATTTTGGGGTCAAGGGGTCAAAGGTCAAGGTCACATTGACCTTGTAAGCAAAAACGGTTTCCGATCAATAACTAAAGAACCTTAAGGCCTAGGAACTTCAAACTTAGTATGGTGATTGGTCATGATCAGTAGATGACCCCTATTGATTTTGGGGTCAAGGGGTCAAAGGTCAAGGTCACATTGACCTTGTAAGCAAAAACGGTTTCCGATCAATAACTAAAGAACCTTAAGGCCTAGGAACTTCAAACTTGGTATGGTGATTGGTCATGATCAGTAGATGACCGCTATTGATTTTGGGGTCAAGGGGTCAAAGGTCAAGGTCACATTGACCTTGTAAGGAAAAACGGTTTCCGATCAATAACTAAAGAACCTTAAGGCCTAGGAACTTCAAACTTGGTATGGTGATTGGTCATTATCAGTAGATGACCCCTATTGATTTTGGGGTCAAGGGGTCAAAGGTCAAGGTCACATTGACCTTGTAAGGAAAAACGGTTTCCGATCAATAACTAAAGAACTTTAAGGCCTAGGAACTTCAAACTTGGTATGGTGATTGGTCATGATCAGTAGATGACCCCTATTGATTTTGGGGTCAAGGGGTCAAAGGTCAAGGTCACATTGACCTTGTAAGCAAAAACGGTTTCCGATCAATAACTAAAGAACTTTTAGGCCTAGGAACTTCAAACTTGGTATGGTGATTGGTTATGACCAGCAGATGACCCCTATTGATTTTGGGGTTAAGGGGTCAAAGGTCAAGGTCACATTCACCTCTTGGGTAAAAACGGTTTCCGATCAATAAGAAAAGAACCCTTAGGCCTAGGGACTTCAAACTTGATATGGTGATTGGTCATGATCAGTAGATGACCCCTATTGATTTTGGATTCAAGGGGTCAAAGGTCAAGGTCACATTGACCTCTTAGGTAAAAACGGTTTCCGATCAATAACTAAAGAACCCTTAGGCCTAGGAACTTCAAACTTGGTATGGTGATTGGTCATGACCAGCAGATGACCCCTATTGATATTGGGGTTAAGGGGTCAAAGGGCAAGGTCACATTGACCTTGTAGGTAAAAAATGCTTTCCAATCAATAACTTAAGAACCCTTAGGCCTAGGAACTTCAAACTTGGTATGGTGATTGGTCATGACCAGCAGATGACCTTTTGATTTTTGGGGTCAAGGGGTCAACGGTCAAGGTCACATTGACCTTGTAGGTAAAAACGGTTTCCGATCAATTAACTAAAAACGCTTAGGCCTAGGAACTTCAAACTTTGTATGATGATTGGTCATGACCAGCAGATGACCCCTATTGAGTTTTGGGTCAAGGGGTCAAAGGTCAAGGTCACATTGACCTTGTAAGTAAAAAACGGTTTCTGATCAATAACTTAAGAACGCTTAGGCCTAGGAACTTCAAACTTGGCATGGTGATTTGTCATGACCAGCAGATTACCCCTATTGATTTTGGGATCAAGGGGTCAAAGGTCAAGGTCACATTGACATTGTAAGTAAAAACGGTTTCTGATCAATAACTAAAGAACGCTTCGGCCTAGGAATTTCAAACTTGGCATGGTGATTGGTCATGAGCAGCAGATGACCCCTATTGATTTTGGGGTCAAAGGTCAAGGTCACATTGACCTTGTATGTTAAAACGGTCTCCGATCAATAACTAAAGAACCCTTAGGCCTAGGAACTTCAAACTTGGTATGGTGATTGGTCATGACCAGCAGATTTGGGGTCAAGTGGTCAAAGGTCAAGGTCACATTGACCTTGTAGGTAGAAACGGTTTCTGATAAATTAACTAAAAACGCTTAGGCCTAGGAACTTCAAACTTTGTATGATGATTGGTCGTGACCAGCAGATGACCCCTATTGAGTTTTGGGTCAAGGGGTCAAAGGTTAAGGTCATGACCAGTAGATACTTGATAACCCTTATTAATTGTTTGATCACTGGGTCAGAAGTCATGCATAATAACCTTATCATATGACTTATTGGCTGCTGATTGGGGGCATACATGTTTTACAAACATATCTTGTTGATACAATGTTACAGATAGTTTATATCATAATAGTTTTATAATTTCTGAAAGGAGAACATATAGTTGCCACTTTGTCTGTTCAGTTGTCACAATCTTGTCTGGAGAATAACTTGAAAAGAATTGGAGGAATTGGATAAATTAAAACTTAACACAGTGAGAAAGACCAGTGAGAGGAAGTGAATTGTACAAGAACAATAATTCTACCTTGCTTAGTTATCTTCATTAACTTTATAATGCTTGACCTTAGTGTAACTTTTAAAACAATCAATGATATCTCATTGAAACATCACATCATAATAGATTTTATCACCTTTTACTGTAAAATTATTATTATTAATGGGGCACGAATTTTCGTGGTTTTCGTGGGTAGGTCAATCCATGAATTTAAGATCCGATGAAATTTTATCTCAACAAATACTTCTTGCCATGTCTCTATTCTAAATATTACAAACACACATTGGCGCTTTTTCCGCCGATTTTTGTGTAATGAATGCCCAGAGGCAAGGATTAAATTTATTGACAAGCGCTATGTGATACGTAAAGATATGTACATGCGGTAAGTAAAATGCGCGGTGATTAAGTGTAACATTACTTTGCATTAGGTTATTTATTTTTTTTTTTTTTACAAGAAATTGAAAATCCATGAATTTAAAAACCCTGGAAAATGCCCGTTTTGATAAATCCACGAAATTTCATGCCCACGAATATAAGTGAATTCGCGGTATTATATTTAATAATGATTGCCTGAAGAATAGCTCAAACTTTTTGAAGGGATGTGAGTAAATCAAAGATACCATTGAGTGGAAGTGCAATGTCCAAGAACCACAATTCTACCTTGCTTAATTTTTTTAAAGCACATTGAAACTTCACACATTTATAAAGACTGGTTACAGGAAGTGCAGTGCTGTAAAAGAGCCATAACTCTACATTACATAGTTATTTCTTTATAGTACTTACTACCTTGATTTTCCCACTTTCTTTGGTCTATTGGGGTCAACATCACTGGCAAGACACTTTAACTGTTGTTGCCTTGCATTATTTATTGTTGTGTATTTAAATACAGTAACAAATGTGTAGTTTTAGGGAGCATCCATCACTTGAGAAGATACTCTAGTTTAAAGGCCTCTGTCTTCAATAGGTCACATTATATAGTAATTTTTTTTTCTAGCATACAGAATAAAGTGTTCTTGGAATTTTAGTCCTAGGATTAGGGGACAGTCTGTGATAATGGTAAATGGTGAGTAACTATAACATACATTTTATTGTACATTTTATTGGGAGCTAATACTTGTTTTCTTTTTTATTGCTCTATCATATCTGCAATACAGTGACATATGATTTTTCAGTAGTTTTGGATTATTGATAATTTGCAGGATTATAAGAATTTACAGTATGCCTAGTATATAGTTCACAATTTTTGGTGCTTAAATATTATAAAATCAAAATCTGGATGTAAAGTTAAAGACACAAATGTTTGAAATATTTGTTTTCAATGAAATGTACACGTAACTCTAATCCTCTGACATAATTCCAACATACTTTGCTGTTTAATATGATTGTATTAGAAATCATTTTTTTAAAACAATATAAATGCAATGCAAATGTGATATGTGTATGTGGTATAGTTTGTTCTAGTCATCTAATACTGTAGTTATACATCAGTGTCATGTTGTTGTTGTTGTTGTATGAAAATTGTATCAGTTGCCATGTGAGATTGTTCACTTGTTTTGTATTTTATTATTATGATCATATATTTAGTGACTCTGTTGTCAGATCCATTTGTTAGTATTGTGATAGTTGCAAAATTTTCATTTTTATGTCATTTTTACGTTTTCATTTCCTATTTTGAGATAGAATATTAATGGTATTTTGAGATAGAACATTAATGGATATTTTTAATTGTAGTAACTAGTAAAAGTGTCATGCACTTAAAGTTCATAAAAATATATGACTCCAGTTGATATCAAGTTTAAATAATACAACTATTTTAATAAGTAAAGTATTTGAAAAGTTTGTGTTGTATACTTTGTGTGTAATCATTTTGAATGTATCATCAATATTGACTCACGTTTTCTCATAATTTATAGCTTAAATCATGTCATTTTATTGCATAGGAACATTGATTTGGTTATCATTCATGTTGTTTCTCTTCATTCAAATGTATTTATTTTTAATTGTATTATTCATTGTATAAGCTTTGAGTTTTTGGCTAATAAAACAGTGTAATGTCAGATATATTAAGTATGATATAAATCCATTTCCCCCTTATTGTGTCGCCTTGAAAAGGCGACATATAGGGGTTACTTTTGTTGTCGGCGTCCCCTAAAGCTTGTCCGGAGCATAACTCAGTCACTATAAGTCTGATTGACTTCAAACTTGGTATGCATGCTTCTTTCAATAACCCAAAGTGCAGTGCACAAGGACCAGTACTCTGCAGTTCTTAATTTTTGAGTTATTGCCCTTTGTTAATTTTCATACTTTAATTTTGTCCGGGCCATTTCTCTTCAACTATAAAAGCTATGGACTTGAAACTTCATAGGATGATAGATCTCATTAAGAAGAAGTGCAGTGCACAAGAACCGGTACTCTGCATTTTTTATTTTTTTAGTTATTGCCCTTTGTTAATTTTCATACCTAATTTTTGTCCGGGCCATTTCTCCAAAAGTATAAAAGCTATGGACTTGAAACTTCATAGGATGGTAGATCTCATGAAGAAGTGCAGTGCACAAGAACCGGTACTCTGCACTTCTTATTTGTGAGTTATTACCCTTTATTAATTTTCATACTTTATTTTTGTCCAGGCTTTTTCTCACAAATTATAAAAGATATGGACTTGAAACTTCATAGAATGATAGATCTTATTGATAAGAAGTGCAGTGCACAGAAACTGCTGCTCTGCACTTATTATTTTTGAGTCATTGCCCTTTGTTAGTTTTCATATTTCATTTTTGTCCTGACCATTTCTCCTAAACTTTATTGTTCACAAGGCGACACATCCGACTCGCGGAGTTCTAGTATTAAATAAGACTGCTCCATGCTAAATTTAGTATAATGAACTGGTCCTCCTGCTTTACTTTACAACGTCTGGTTGATTGTGGTTGATTATGCCTTCAAAACAAGCTTCAAATATAATACATGTATACACTTTGAACCAATGTCAGTAAGATTATCATTTTCTAGTGGCAAAGACAAGCCATAATCTGTTCGCAAAGATAAGTTATTATCTGGTGGCAAAGACAAGCAATTATCTGGTGGCAAAGATAAGTTATTATCTGGCGGCAAACATAAGTCATTATCTGGTGGCAATGATAAGTTATTAACTTGTGGCAAAGATAAGTCATTATCTGGTGGCAATAATAAGTAATTATCTAGTGGCTAACATAATTCATTATCTGATGGAAAAAATGAGACATTATCTAGTGGCAAAGACAAGCCATTATCTGGTGGCAAAGATAAGTCATTATCTGGTGGCAAAGATATGTTATTTATCTAATGGCTAAGAAAAGTCATTATCTGGTGGCAAAGATAAGTCATTATCTTGTGGCAAAGATAAGTCATTAACTTGTGGCAAAGATAAGTCATTATCTGGTGGCAATAATAAGTAATTATCTAGTGGCTAACATAATTCATTATCTGGTGGAAAAAATGAGTCATTATCTGGTGGCAAAGACAAGCAATTATCTGGTGGCAAAGATAAGTTATTATCTAGTGGCAAAGATATGTCATCTGGTGGCAATGATAAGTTTTTATCTAGTGGCTAAGGTAAGTCATTATCTAGTGGCAAAAATAAGTAATTATCTAGTTGCTAAGATAATTCATTATTTTGTGGAAAAGATTAGTCATTATCTGGTGGCAAAGACAAGCAATTATCTGGTGGCAAAGATAAGTTATTATCTAGTGGCAAAGATAAGTCATTATCTGGTGGCAAAGATAAGTTATTATCTAGTGGCTAAGATAAGTCATTATATGGTGGCAAAGATAAGTCATTATCTGGTGGCAAAGATAAGACATTATCTGGTGGCAAAGATAAGTCATTATCTGGTGGCAAAGATAAGTTTTTATCTAGCGGCTAAGATAAGTCATTATGTAATTATCTAGTTGCTAAGATAATTCATTATCTGGTGGAAAAGATTAGCCATTATCTGGTAGCAAAGATAAGTCATTATCTGGTGGCAAAGATAAGTCATTATCTGACGGAAAAGATGAGCAATTATCTAGTGGCTTAGATAAGTCATTATCTGCTGGAAAAGATAAGTCATTATCTGGTGGCAAAGTCAAGTCATTATCTGCTGGCAAACATAAGTCATTATCTGGTGGTAAAGACAAGCCATTATCTGGTGGCAAAGATAATTCATTATCTGGTGGCGAGGTTAAGTCATTTTATGGTGTCAAAGATAAGTCATTATCTGACGGAAAAGATGAGCAATTATCTAGTGGCTTAGATAAGTCATTATCTGCTGGAAAAGATAAGTCATTATTAGGTGGCAAAGTCAAGTCATTATCTGGTGGCAAACATAAGTCATTATCTGGTGGCAAAGATAATTCATTATCTGGTGGAAAAGATTAGTCATTATCTGGTAGCAAAGATAAGTCATTATCTGGTGGCAAAGATAAGTCATTATCTGACGGAAAAGATGAGCAATTATCTAGTGGCTTAGATAAGTCATTATCTGCTGGAAAAGATAAGTCATTATCTGGTGGCAAAGTCAAGTCATTATCTGGTGGCAAACATAAGTCATTATCTGGTGGCAAAGACAAGTCATTATCTGGTGGCAAAGATAAGTCATTATCTGCTGGAAAAGATAAGTCATTATCTGGAGGCAAAGATAAGCCATTATCTGGTGGCAAAGATAATTCATTATCTGGTGGCGAGGATAAGTCATTTTATGGTGTCAAAGATAAGCCATTATTTGGTGGCAAAGACAAGCCATTATCTAAAGACAAAGGCAAACTAATACCGGGTATCAAAGACAAATCATTATCTGGTGTCAAAGATAAGCCATTATCTGGTGGCAAAGATGAGTCATTTTATGGTGTCAAACATAAGTCATTATTTGGTGGCAAAGACAAACCATTATCTGGTGGCAAAGATAAGTCATTTTATGGTGTCAAAGATAAGTCATTGTCTGGTGGCAAACATAAGTCATTATCTGGTCGCAAAGACAAGTCATTATCTGGTGTCAAAGATAAGCCATTATCTGGTGGCAAAGATGAGTCATTATCTGGTGGCAAAACTAGTCATTATCTGGTGGCAAAGATAACTCATTTTATGGTGTCAAAAATAAGTCATTGTCTGGTGGCAAACATAAGTCATTATCTGGTCGCAAAGATAAGCCATTATCAGGTGGCAAAGCTAAGTCATTATCTGGTGGCAAAGCTTAGTCACTATCTGGTGGCAAAGGCAGGCCATTATCTTATAGGTAAACACGCTATTATCTGGTGGCAAAGGCAAGTTATTATCTGGTGGCAAAGATAAGCCATGGTATAGTAACATAAGTAAGCTAATATATTGGCAATTACAATTCATATTTTAGGAACGTAGAAAACGCTATTGATGCCGTTATCTGGAAGCAAAGAAAATCCATTATATGGTACGCGTTCTCAACGCCATAACAGTAGTCATACAAGAAAAGCATTGATGCAAAGCATCAAAGGGCGTCCAAGCAAGAAATGCAGAAAGTGAAGATGAACTAGTAGACATATGATGTCAAGATATTCTTATAAACTTTTCAATGGTTAATTGGTTTTTACCAGAATGAACGGACGGAAGACATTGTTCATTATGAACTTTGATTGGCATGCTAGAGATTAGAATATTACTTGTTATTTCTTTATGATCGTGATTATTAATAGCAACGGATATTCATGTATACAATCATTTATAATCCATATGTGTAACGCATGATCAACACCACATTTGTGGAATTGTCCCTTATTATGTAATCGCTATTAGCGAAGACCCCCTCTTAAGGTATCTGTTCACACTTAGTAAAAATATGACACTGGTTATATTACCATGTCATGTTGAGCATTATTGTTTATTATACAATAATTGAAATATCTATTTTAATAACAAAAATACAGATTTAATGAATATTGTTTTCCTCTCTTTTTTGTGTTTTTATGTGCTATTTTAATACTGAGTTTTTTACGTTTACTACTCTTTTTTTATTAAAATTGTAAAATAAATTTTAAGAATTCAATTGTCATATTGACCGACGATTATAAGTCAAACCTTAACTGGAAAAACTCAGTAAATTATGGTTAATCTTTCAATATATAATATTGTTTATTCTTAAACCATGTACATGTACATTTGTATTTTTCCTTATCATTTTTTAAATTATCAATCAATTAAATAATTAATAAAATCTAGTTTGGAACTTTGAATAATTCCTCGGCATCTTTACTAAACACGAATAACAAATTAAATAAAATGTTTCAAAGTTGATAGTGTCATATAAAAACCATAAAAATGTACCTTTTTTCACAATTATTGTACATATTTATTGTTTTTATCTCATATAGATAAAATGAAACATGCTATTGTTGTTGTTGTTGGTTTTTTTTTTCGAATTGTATGTTTATGTATAATAATAATCAATAAATTTGAGAGTTTATCTATGTTTATAAATTATTGTAATCAAACTAAGTGACAAACATTCATTTTGGAAAAAAGCTTATTTATCTGTAAAATATTTGTTCTGTTCTGTAACGATATCAAACATCTACTCCAAAACCGGGAGAGACCGGACAATAAACGTGTGGTCACTAGTATCCCGGTCAAAATAGACCGGGAGAGACCGGAATTACCGATAGGAGTACATCCCTCTATAAATAGATTTTCGGAATATTTAGGCCATCAACTCATCATTCTATTTTAACATACCATTTTAACCCACTGTGTACTACAAAATGATAAATAAAAAAACCGAAGAGACGGAAAAGGTTATTGCATTTGAAAATGTTTGCATTGCGAAATCCCCCAGTTCGCTGTTCATTGTACATATCGCGACATTTCATTTTTAATTAATAATAATCAAGCACCCTCATAACGATCGGAATGATTGGCTTTTATTATGACCGACTAAAAGGCTCGAGAAGTTGCTGTCGCCCTTTCACAAAATCTGATTTCATTCCATAAAGGGGCGCCGCGCTTCGGCGCGGACGCCAATTAAGAACTTCCTCGTCGCACTTCAAACGTTATGTGGTTGCCATATTACTCGCCAATTACGTGTCTGCCACTATGCTGCATCTACAGTACGTTCATAGTACGTGATTGGGGTTCACATGGTTTATACCGCGACAATGGGATCACTGGGAAGTTCTAGAACGCACTAAGAACATCGATCCTCAGCGTTTGTTTGTTGTTACTTAACGTACAGCGCAATGTTAAATAAAATATAAGTATTAAATATTCAACTGATTTATTTCTATCTTATTACAACTTAATTCTAGTTCTTTGACAAGTTCAAGATATAAGATTTTTTGTTGTTGTTGCAAACAAGTTAGATTCGATGATGTGGTTTGGCTGATGATAATGTAATCACATATGAATGTGTCACATATGTTTTCAATCTATTTTTATATATTGTGTTCCATTGGATACACATATGATACAACGTTTATGATCAGTTGACATAATAACATTAAGGAAATCTCAGCAGTACTGTTTTATAGTATACATATTATACCTACTTGTTAAAGCGTGAGTAATGACCTCTCAGAACTTCAAATGTTCAAATTTATTATATTCTAAAGGTTGTAAATCAAACTCCTATGTTGGAAATTATCATATCAATCTGAATAATGCTCAAACTGTAAGATCTCTCTTAGTTAAATCATTTTAAGATATTTGATTCATACCTTGAGTCCATGTCTTTATACCTCATAATGGCGAAAAACAACAGCAAATAATTATAGGCGCATTGAGAGGTATGTTTGCTTTTACAAACAATCAATGCTTAGCTCGACAAAAATAAAGAGATAAAATAAATATTGGAAATATAAAACAAACGAATGGTTCGTTGATTGTAATTCAAAAACAAAAAAGACCGGTGTTTTAGCAATAATACAATTACTGAGAGAAGACTGGAACTGCTTTTACAGTTGATATAGTGATATCCCAATTTCATTGATTTTACGTAATTGCCTTGCAAATAATATAAATTAATCTCGCGTTTTATCCAATAAGAAGAAGTCTGTTATTAATGTGTAAGAAATAATTTAGCAATTGAGACAATATGGAGATAAATTGATAAAGGAGTTCGATATTTTCTAGCAGCTGTGTTTTCATCTATATTAGATATTTACAGACTAATAGACATTCATAGACTATCGATTTGAATTTAAGTTTTAAATGTATGTAGGAAATAAACATTTTTAAACGTTTGAACTCACTGCTACCGCGAAGCATGGTTATTGCAGTATTTTTGTGACCAGCTCATACCAACATGTAAATTTTGTATATTACCAAAAACCGTAAGGTCTTTGTAATATCAGACAGGGTATGGTTTTTATAATTTTTATATACATGTAGTCAAACAATTTAAAAAAATTTCTTGCCCGAGAACTGTTTCAGATATTGGCTTTACGGAAAACTTTGTGATTGACGCATTCTATTTGCGGAAAATCATTCAAGAAATACGTCAGTAGACAATACTCACGACAATATATCAATGACAATATACACTTTTCTTTGCCAAGAATACAAACGTACGGAATCTGTTTAAAGGTCACATCAACATACCGTAGATATATATTATATATCAACGTTGCATTATTTAATTTGGTATATTTGTAAAACTCAAGATGAAACACGTGGTTAATTCTTTCTACAATTCAAAACATTTGTTGATAGTAGTTAAAATTTGTTTTAAAGAGAAGAAACAAACAATAAATAAGAAAAATATTTAAAAGCTTATTTATTGGGTAATATCTAAATGATATAGAGTATACAAAACAGCAACAACAACAAAGAAAAAAAACAACACACCGATTTATTGAAATAGATAGACAGACATGTGGATTCACTGGTAATTGGGCTGACATTTGCAATTTTGCATGTTCTGGTGTAATTACATTTATATTGACGTACATCTGCTCGTAAAGTCACATGACTAGGTCTAAATATGGAAAGTACAGTCTGTAAATTACCAACTATTCGATCACATCAAAGGAACACTGATGCGTATATTATATTGTAGCGAACAATACATGTAGTTGAAGAATGTTAGATAGTATAATGAGCGATCATTCGAACTTACAGCATATCATAGATTTAATACTGGTTGCATTTAATCGACACAACATTCAATATTATATCGTTGTTTTTTTGTTGTTGTTGTTGTTGTTGTTTTTTTTAATTAATAACTGATCCGCTTCCCAATTGGCCATGTTAAACTACACAACAGTCTCTAAAACGCTCATTACGTTGCCGCCAGACACGTCTCCGATCCAAACAAAATTTTGATTCATCTGTGAACAAAATGTCTAGCTTGACACAACCTCAAATTCTGGCGATCCCGTGCAAACGCCAATCGATTGACACGATGTCTTGGAGTGAGTGGTACACGAACAGCTGGCCTCCGAGGGCGTAAATTAGCCTCATGAATTCTGTTTCTATATGTTTGAACTGAAATGATCACATTTGTTGCCCTTGCAAAATCTCTATTCAACGAAACAGCAGAATCAAATCGCCTTCATTTCGCCATTACTACCATTGCACGGTCGTTTCGGGCAGATGTTGCCCTCAAATGACCACTTCCAGTTCGTCTAAATGCAGATCCGGTATCCAGGTACCTTGTCCACAACCGCTGAATTACGCTTTGATTGGTGCTGTTGGCCTGTGCCACTTGACGCTGACTTTGACCAGCTAGCAAACGTCCCAGGGCTTGTGCAGCCTCATCTCGAGTCATTTGTCTCCTCGGCATTTTTTGTGATAAATGTCAATGAATTTGAAACACAGAAAACAAAAAACTGTGTTAAAACTCCAGCGGTATAAAGAAATATTAAACAGGTTGGATATGATATCTTCATTTTCAATGCAATTTTTGAAGGTACATGTCTTTCTGAGCGTTTTGCACGGATTTTTCGATATTTTCATGGTTATGTGCACAAGGTGAAAGTGATATATTTAGATTAAAATATAAAGTTATTATCAAAATACCCTAAAATATATTATTGACCCCTATTTTATTTTGTTAAGAGTAGTTCAGTAAAAACTTATACACCAAATATATACTTGTATTGTATACAATCAATATTAATCAGTGTTGTCAGTATATATAGTTTCATATTATGAAATAAGAAAGCTGTGTTTCATATGCCAAGAAATTAAACATACAGCAACGTTTTGTATGCATTGTTTCATGTGTTCGTATACAGATCTCACGGCAGTAAATTATCATATACTCCAAAAATAATCAGTGGCTGTGTGATGTTTAATACAGGCTTCCGTAATAGAAACAAGATAGA